GGATCAATACAGGCTTTTGTAAACTGGTCCCAGACATAAGTGGTGGCCAGGTAATTGGGATGTACAAAATCAATATCATAAAACCGGTAATCGCGCAGGATGTCGATCACCAGCTCATAGGCGGGGAAGTAGTAACAATAAGGCAGCAACTCACAAAGCGTATGTACCGTATCTATCAGCCGCCCCTTGCTGCGGTTGTTTTCCACCACCCCATCACGGATATGCCGCACCGGCGAAACGGTGAACATGACCCTGGCCCTGGGATTTACAGCATGTAGCTGCGCTAAAGCGTCTTTAAGATCAGCGACCATCTCATCAATACCGGCCAACCTCCGGTCAAACCACTGGGCAGGTGCCCGGTGATTATTGGTCACCAGGCGATTGTTATCTTTCAGCACGTATTGATAAGAGGAGCCAAGCGTGATAAACAGCCAATCTGCCTGCCGGATAAAATCATGCGCGGCAGCTAGCTCACGGTTCATCCCTGCTAAGACCTCTTCTTTACCGGTACCCGAGAAACGGCTGTGATAGTCCCAGCTATTCCACGTCTCATTGAGCAGGAACAGCTCCTGCGCTTCAACCGGCTTCCCTTCCATATATTGCCGCAGGCTTTGTGCTACGCTGCCCGAATTGAACAGGATGCCATGCGGGTTCTGCAATGTTTTAAACTTATGCTGCTCCAGCCTCCCGGACATATGCTCCGTAAAGCAGGACCCGATGAGCAAGACCTTATCTGTATACTTTAAAGGGTCAGACAGGGGCCTGATATTGGGCTGCAGCGTTAATTGCATTCGTTACGTTATTACTTAAAAGTGATCGGTAGCTTCATTTCTTTTCCATTGCGCAGAATGGTTACGGTTGTCTTTCCTCCTTCCTTTTGCTTGCCCAGTGTTTCCATATAACTCTGCATACCCTGCACCTTGTCATCGCCAATCGCCATAACAATATCTCCGGCGATGATACCGGCCTTCTGGGCAGGCTTGCCATCGGCAACACCATCTACACGTACACCGGCATCCTGGTAGCTATAGTCGGGCATAATACCTAAGGTCACCTTAAAGCGCGCCTTGCCCACCGTTGTTTGTTTGGTAGGTGTAAACTTGGGCCGAGGTGCATTGTCCATCTTCGTAACAATGGTCTGGATAAAACGGATCACATCTACTTCACCGGGGTAATTGATCTTATCGGCATCATCACTTGGTTTATGATAGTCGTGATGGGAGCCGGTAAAGAAGAAGAGCACCGGGATACCTTTGTTATAAAAAGAGGAATGATCCGACGGGCCTACGCCAGAGCTATCTGTATTGATGCGAAATGTCTTATTGCCAAGCGTTACCAGATCGGCCCACATGGGCGAGGTGCCGACGCCACCCAGGGTGAGTGCGCGGCTGC